ATACAACATAATCATTTATGCATGCCTACTTTAATAATGCATTATATGTTCTCGTATTTAACAAATACATGGACACAGACAAAAGAAAAAAAATGCTCCAGCAGCTAAGCTGATCAGTCAGTGTTGTCCTACAAATGCGCCACAGACAAGCTGTCACTCTCACCAGTGCCGTTCTTGAAGCAGGTGGTGTGGAATTTGCCCATGTAAAACTCCACCCCAATGATGGCAAACATAACAATGGCGAAGAACAGCAGCAAGCCAATCTGAAGAAGTGGAACCATGGCTTTCATTATAGACTTCAACACCACCTGGAGGCCTAAGAGACAAGAGGAGAGGAGGAGAATGATTATAGGCAGGGATTTGCCAATTTCTTGGAATTTTAAAACTTAAAAGGCAAAGTGAAAACTTCATGAATATCAAAAAACTAAAGCACATACAGATACGTATGCTTGTGTCTGCTATGAAAACACATACATAATAAATTCAATTTTATTACAAATTAGGGAGGCGCATAGACGTGTGTAACAAAGTTACAGTCACAGTTAAAACTGACAAATAATGACAAAGTAACCTACTTGCAGTCGGTAAAATAAGTATTTATGATAAAATGTATAAATAAATTAAATATAAATTTGAATAAAAGCAACATGCTGTATATCATACAATTGCTTTTGCTTGGAAAATTAAGTATTCATAAGAAGAAAATGGTCAGGAACTAAGCCAACTTTCCAAGAAGAACTGGATCTCGGCTGCTTTAGCATTTGCATTTACTGGTTGCATTACATTTATCACATTGCTTTAAATTAACTGCTATCTTGCTTTATGTTACCCATTCGTTCACTACATTTAGCTACTACTTAATTTAACATGTGTTTATTTAAGATAAGATAAGACAAGACAAGACAAGACTTTATTGATCCCACGACGGGGAAATTTTTGCGTTACCTCAGCTCAGGTACAGATATCAGAAGGAAATACAAAAATACAAATAAGTACAACCAATGAAAAAAAGTAAGATGATACACTATATACAACGGTAGCATGCAGAGTATGTGATTATGGATATGGTTGTGGAACTATGCAAGACGTAAACTATATAGCTTAACATAAAAATAGTTATGTTAAGCTATGATACCCATCCAATGATGGCTGTATCATCTGAGAACTTCTGTAGATGGCAATCGTCCGAATTATAACAGAAGTCTGAAGTGTAAAGGCTGAACAGGAAAGGTGAGAGAATCGTGCCCTGTGGTGCCCCCGTGCTGCAGATTACCACCTCAGACACACAGTCATGGAGCCTCACATTCTGTGGTCTGTCGGTAAGGTAGTCGATGGTCCATGCAGTCAGCTGTTTTCCTACTCCGGCTCCCTCCAGCTTCCCTCTCAGTAGTGCAGATTGGATGGTGTTGAAAGCACTGGAGAAGTCAAAAAACATGATCCTCACAGTGCTCCCCACCTGCTCTAGGTGAGGGATCGGTGTAACAGGTAGATGACAGCGTCTTCCACCCCAATTCCAGAACAGTAGGCGATCTGCAGGGGGTCCATCGCTGAGTCCACCAGTGGCCGAAGGTGGTGCAGGATGAGCCTTTCCATTGTCTTCATCAGATGAGAAGTCAACGCAACAGGCCTGAAGTGGTTGGGCTTCTTGGGGTGTGCGATTTTTGGCACCAGAACCACACAGGAAGTCTTCCACAGTTCAGGAACCCTCTCCAGGCTCAGGTTGAAGATGTACAGGGCCATCTTGACAGAGCTGGTCTGCACAGTCCCTGAGCAGTCTGGAGCAGATTCCATCCAGACCTGCTGCCTTCCTTGCCTTCATCCTCTTGAGCTGACTACTCACCTAATCAGCTGTGAAGTAGATGTGAGGCTGGGCTGGAGTGGGGGGTGGGGCTGGCTCTGTGTGGGTAGATGTGTGGACAGGGGTGAAGCAGGGTTGTGGTGAGAGGAGAGCTCAGGTGACAATGGCAAACACTGTACCTTCTTGGTAGGCACAGTGTTCTCAACACAGAAATTAATGTAGTCCGTGATGCAGTGGGTGAGGGCGTCGATGTCCTCATCGTGAGGCTTGCAGAGTTCCTGCCAGTCTGTGCATTCAAAACAGTCTCTTAGGGCCTCAGTGCATTCCTCAGACCACACCCTTATCACCTTCTTTGTGGGGGGTTTCCTTTTCACCATAGGAGTGTAAGTGGGGTAGAGAATGACCAGGTTGTGGTCTGAGTGGCCAAGCGAGGGGAGGGGTGATGCGCTGTAAGCCTGCTTTGTTTTGGCAAACAATAGATCCAGGGTTTTGCTGTCCCTTGTATGGCAGTCAATGTGACAGATATTGAGGCATGATTGAAGTCCCCAGAGATAATAATGAGGGACTGCAGATGTGCCATCTGTAGCTGAGAGACGGTGGAGTGAATGTACTCACAGGCTGCTGTAGCGTCGGCCGAGGGTGGGATGTAAACAGTCAGCACAATAACGTGTGAAAATTCCCTGGCCAGGTGGTATGGCCGGACGCTAACCGCCAATAGTTCAATGTCTTTGGTACAGCGCTGTTCCTTCACAGTGATGTGTCCTGGGTTACACCATCTCTCGTTGACGTACATTGCTAGTGCCCCACCTCTCCTCTTACCACTCTCCATTGCATTCCGGTCCGCTCTAACCAGTTGAAAGCCATCCAGAGTTGTGACAGAGTCCGGCGTGTGGTCCGTGAGCCATGTCTCAGTGAACAGGAGGAGGCTGCTCTGCTTGTACTCCCACTGCAGTCTGGTTAGCGCAATTAGCTCTTCCATCTTGTTGGGTAAAGATCTTAAATTACCCATGAGAATGGATGGAATGCTTGGTTTGTACCGTCTCCTTATTTCCCAGTACTTCACTCCAGCCCTGCCCTCCTCTGACGCCGTAATTCCTTGGAATCTTGGGTCGCTCCTCCGGGAGTACTTTCCTGTTGCCCAGTGCTAGTAGCTGTTCCCTACTGTAAACAATGGGGTGGCTTACAGATTCTCCAGAAATGGTGGTAAAAAGTCCCAAAAAGAGTAGAAGACATGCTACTACTCTCATGAAAATTTGTGGGTCCATGTCCCGTTGCACAACAAATAAAAGATGACCAAGAGTGCCGGGTAAAAAAGCTTAAAACACAAGAAAAAAAGAAAGGAAAGAAAAAAGCTGGGAGCTGAGGAAACAGGCTGCCTACTGTGGCGCCATCGTGTCACATTGGTCACTTATTATAATAAGTGACCAATTTTAACTATTCATCTTGGGCTAACCATTATGTTTTTTCAAGTTGTATTTATCGTTAACTTCATCTATCACTCTCTACTTCTAAATGTAATGGCTACAGCAGAGTATTAGGCCCACATTAAGAAAAAAATATATATTATTGATAATTTTGAGATTAAAATCGAAATTTCTAGGTCAAAGTGAAATATCTATTTTGGGAAAAAAGTTTAAATGTTGAGATTACAGTTGTTGTATCAAGACAAACTGCCACAGTTGGCATCACATTTTGACTGTTTTCACAAAATAGACTTTAATCTTGAAAGTTCAGCTTTACTGATCTAAAACGCTACCTATATAAACTTACTGGGGATTCCTGACACCAGCTTCAGGGGTCTCAGCACTCTCACCGCTCGTAGCGTTCTCAGGTCAAAGTCTGAACCCACCGTGGCCAAGATTCTGTATGCAGATGCAAACAAAGACAAGAAATAAGCCCATTAAAAGTCAGAAATACATAAATGTATGCTTTTATCTACAAGGAATATACTCTCGAAAAGCTTAGTGAATTTCTTCAAGTGTGTGTGTGTGTGTGTGTGTGTGCATCCTTGCTAGTGAACCACAGCTGCCAGCCCTCATTACAAGCTGTACACAGAACGAAAGACCTAAGTGCTCCAGTGAAACACACACATAAGAAACACATGCTGTAGGCTAAAGAGAGAGCACGAGTGAGTGCGAGAGAGAGAGGAAGATGAAAATAAGAATTACTGTAAAAACATATATGTGAATGTGAACAAAGTTATTCCTTTTACATTTCCCACTTTGGACTGGTTCTCATAATAGTAGCATTTTATACAACGTGCCTCACTCACACACATACACGCTTTTGTACCAACGTACCAAAGAGCAACTTGGCGTTCAGTATCTTGCCCAAGAATTCGATAGCACACAGATTAGAGCAGCCAGGGATTGCACCACCAACATTTCGATTAGTATATGACCTGCTCTACATTATGAAATACAGCCACCCCATAAAAATACCTTGCTAGACTTTATTTGTCACTGAGTGCAGGACAGGCACCAAGATGAAGTAGACAGTTGCATGTTACCATCCACCTATGAATATGTTGCCATCTTTTTTTCTCTTTGTGTATATGTGTTCAATATAATATTTTGGGGAGACTGGCAGGTTGGTATTAGTCTAGCAGTGCAAACTTCAAGTAAAAATGAAAGTAACTACTGAGTGAAAGGCAATTATCTCGATATCTGACATGTTTCCATTCAGTTGTTCAATGTGGGACTTTTTTTTCAACACTAACCATACAAAAAATCTTCCTCTGTGACAGATACACTACAATGTGCTCCATTTAACTTTGAAATGAAACCCACACGTTTGCTTTGTTCGTAAGAAAGAGTTATTTTTAACCACATTTGAGTATAATTAATATTTTTAACATCCCAAATGGGTGTGTTTTTTAAGTCTCTCAGTTAAGTACTGTTGGGAGCCACAGAGCAGCCCCAAAAACCTCAAGAGTGCAATAGCTTTTATGTTGAAGGCAGAATATATTCACGACTGAGGAAATCTTCTTCATGTAAGTGTGCAACATACTCACACACACGCGCACACACCTACACACACACACACACACACACACAAAAAGTGAGAGAGAGAGAGTAGCAGACAAGAAGAAAGGTCATTTATCACTCCCTGGTTACCAGTTGGCATGATAACAAATAAGGCAAATCTATGCTTTATGATATTCGCGTTATGGGTCAAAATCAGTCTGCTGGGATAAAGGTGACCGTCCTAGCGCTGTAGTATAGAATATATTATTTCATTTAAAAGGGCCATTTTATGATAAATTACAACTATTTCTCATTATCGGACTCTATCTGTGTAGCTTTGCATGATTCACAGCTCAAAATAATTCGAGTTTGCCTTATACTGGGTTTTAGTGCAGATTCAGCCTATTCAGGCCAACTTTCACCTAATTGATTACCCTTTGCAACCAAAAGGTTTGAACAACAGGTGGGTGGGGCTTCTCTTGTGTGCCTGAGATTATAATATTATGAAGCTCTGCTGTTATTGAGGCCATACTGAGCCAAAAGTAGACAAAACACTCTAAAACTGAGTGTTTAAAGCAGGGGTCTCAAACTTGTAGCCTGGGGGCCTATTGCGGCCCACGCCCACGTAACCCCTACTTGATGTGAAGAAGTGGCCCATGAAGTTACTTTTTTTGTTAGGGAGGATTTGTTTGTTGTTGAGTGCAATTTTAAAATAAGTTCTTTAAAAAGCAAAACATTACGAGCAATATGAGCAGGAAGCACAAACACGTTGAGGGATTGGCTGTGTTTCTTCAGTGAGAGACTTATTTGTAAGGAAAACAATTTTCACTAGCAGTCAAAAACGAATGTGTACACTTATGTCTGCATTTTTATTTTGTTAAAAAGGAATAAAATTATAGCATGTCTGGCCAGAAAGAGAGTCCCAATTTGTTTATTTGGTAGTTCACCGAAAGGCTTCAGATAGTTTGCAGTTTTGTCTTGTTATATAAGATCTGAAATTTTAAAAAACAAACACAACTCTACTTTTTGGAAATATTTGTGGGTGTCTTCTTGTTTGTTTTTTTCATACTACCTGAACACTAAAGTGGCCCTCTAATGTGATGACAGTGCCAGCAGTGGTCCATAGCTCATTTAGGTTTGAGACGCATGGTTTAAAGAGTTTTTGGCTTACAGGAAGTACTTTTGTCCTTGTTTAATATGAGCGCCCACCAATGTAGCCGCATATATGACAGAAAATAAGGAAGGGCATAGTAGTAATAGCACATTTTACGAACAGGCTTTGTTCAAATTCTATGCCTGGGACGTATTCACAAATATTATCATTTACTTTTTCATATGCGGTACATTTTATTTCTCATACTATAATTTCATCTTTCAGTTTCTTTTTTTTAAGTGACAAAAAAGGAAGCACAAAGTGAGAGATCACAGTTGAGGGATGAGTTAAAGATAACACAGTGGTGAGGACTGTGTAGGAATAGTGTAGCAAAAGCTTCTAAACACAACACAACAGGAACAGCCACACAACAGCGCATGCATTCATAAATGTACTCGCACTTCTCTTAAGAAATAAGCACGCACACAAATCCTGTTTATTTCCGTTGTACTAACACATCAACGTACAGTACTCATGCCCAGGCGCCCTAGGCCTAAAGTTGACATAAATCTATTTGAATTTCAAATTAAAGGCTTCCAGGTTGAAAAAAACAACCTTATTTTGTCCAGATTTGGATGGTGTAACTAGTTTCTTCTGTGGCCCTCGGTATCCACTGTGCTCGCTATCTTAAAAAGCTTCAAAGTCTGAAATATTTCTTCCTTATCTAGTGGAAGAAGATGAAATGCATTGTGTAAGCCCTTACGGCCACCCAAATAAGTAAAGGCCTAAAAAGCCATATATATGTGTAAGAGTTGCTAATATTATGATTTGATATCAGATCAGTTGTTAGATGTTATGTGTGGTCCAATGGCTGTAACAATATATAATGGGGTAGTCCAAAAACAGAAACATACAGTGCACACGCTGTAACATAATCCTGACTCTGACAGCTCAGATTTCTCTTGCAACTCGTTCTAGTTCTTCAGTTTTCAGCACTTTACTGAAGTCAGAATCATCTTTAGTCAACTCCCATTGCACTAATGACTGTCACACATCAAAGAGGAAGCCCAGGTGGAACAGTGTTTAGACCTAGATAAGATCAGGTTTTTAACTGTGACAAAAGAGGATTAAAATCCCACGTCTGAGCCGGGAAACAAGGATAACATTTAAATGAAGAAACAACCAAGGAGCGATTTACAGCAGCTGGTAATACATCTAAAAGCAGAGTCGACCCTAAGTTATGTATTAATACATTTTAATTTCCTGTGTGTTTAATGATAAACCAAAAGTTTCTTGACATTTGTTTGTAGTTTAAAATACTCCACAACAGGCCTCTCCGTGACTCCTACTACACCTAACACTACCATTGCTGCGTGGTAACTACAAGCTCTGAAACCTGAAATGCTCTTTCATAACACCCAGAACCTCCAAGGGAAATGCTTGTCATTCACCCAACTGCAGAGAAAATATCAAGGCAAGGATTCCCAGACACTAATGTTCGCTTTCTTTGGTATTAACAGTCATAAATCTGAACTTCCACAGCCACTTACAGAGCTGCGTATGGACAAATGTATGCTCATTTATCCATTCATATTCTTAGTCACCTATCCAATTTAGGTTTGCAGAAGGAGAGAAGTGGGGTACACCTAGAACATGTCACTAGTCCACATCTCCACTAAAGTAAGAGAAAGATGCTTCTCCCTGACTGCACTCGAAAGAGTTATACCTTTTTATAAAGTACAAGAGTTGATTTTTGCTGATTTTCAGCAATAATTTAAGGTTGGAAGTGCTACTGAGCACAATCTGCACATGCAAGAATTGTTTATTCAGCATATGTCACTGTGACCTGGAGAAATCATAGACTGTATAGAAGATGGGTGTAGTCTGTGTGTTATCACCAGCTGGTTAGCGTTACCCTCGAGCTAACTGTTTCTCCTGTCACTGTCGTGATGTTTTGATTCTGGATGTAATGAGTTAGAGCTGGATCTAAGTGCAGGCTCAGTAGCAGTTTTCTAATTGAGTCGCCCCCTCCTGGGAATTACAAAGCATGCACGTTGCACACTTTTCAGACCTGGAAGCTTCCTCTTTCCTACTGTCTATGAGAGCAACAGAATAAAAGGGCCTATGAAAACATGAATCACCCTCTGTGCTATTTCTTTTTTTAATCACAGTCAATACTTCACTTTGGTCTGTTGCAAACAGGTGTGTGTATGTGGGTGCACATTTCTTGTGAAGGATCTATCTGATGATTGTGTAGACAGACGGTCGGGCAGGGAGCAGGTTGACAAAGAAGAGTTTTAATATCACTTTATCATTTCCACAATATATCCATGCCGGCGCCAGACACCAGCACAGGATATGCAGAAGGTGATGCTATCGTCTGTCAGTCGCTTACACAGCGATATGCCACTTTCCTCCCTATTGTTAGACAGACGTAAAAAAGTATGTTCATGCAGGAGCAGACTGATAAAGGGGAAAAAAAGGACATGAGCATGAAAAAGCACAGAATACAAGAAGATTTCTACATAACTGCATACATTCAGATGAACCCAATAAAGGTTCACTTCCTGTTTAGTTCATCAAATATACAGATGTGATTCAGCCTTTATGATTGGATTATGAATAGCACGGGAACTACTTCAACACTGAAGAAACAATGGCAGAAAAAATAGATAAGAGTGATTCATGCTGCCCATCAAAATCCGCAGAATGAAACTTTGCTTCATTTAGCTGTCCATTATTTTTTGTTCTAAATGCAAAAAAGGAAAAAGAAAAGAAAAGAAAAGAAACTGTGTTATTGACA